GACGTGCAGCCAGAGCCACAACAGAATGGTTGAGATTAACAACGTGTTAGAAAAGCCTAAAGTCCAGAGCTGAGTCCAATCAAGAACCCATGGCATGACTTGCAAATGCATGTATACCGATTCTCTCCAACCAGCCTGACTGAACAGCAGCAACGTTTCGCCCAACATTTCCTTCAAAGAACCTTTCACACAAAACTGTAACCAGCAGAGACGACACCGAGAGAAAAGTGAAAAGACCAGACAGTTTGTCAATAACTACTGACGATTGATCCTCCCAGAAGGTATCGCGATAAACGATAAGTTTGTTGTTTTGAGTCAATTTGCCAGTAAAATAATCTCAAAGATCAATAAAATTTAAATCCTGATGAACATTTTAACACTGGAACCGGAAGACATTTTAAATGTCCAAAACAAAACAACAGAAACAGAAAATCAAATAAATTATGAAGTCTCAGGAAATGAAATTAAGGTTTAGTCGAGACCAAAACTCCAGACTGAAGACTTTTGTTATCCAGTTTTTGGTAGAAAAAAAAACAATAAATCACGAAATTAGAAATTATTGAGTTTGTTTAAACTTATCAAGCGATGTATCGATTACTGCGACAGGTTTTTTTTTACAAATGGGGTAGATTTATGGTTGTAGAAGAAGAAGCGGGACTCTTTAAATATTTAATGAATGTGGAAAACACACACACACACACATACACACACACACGAAAAAAACAAGTGTCATTACTGAGAGCAACCCTGAGCACCTGCTCCTGCACACTGAGAGAGCTGACACACACTCACCTTCATCTGGGAGGTCACTGTCACATTCTGCAGACAAAGACAGATTGCCTTATGCACAGGTGTTCTTCCCACTCACCCCCTCCTGCTTATAGACACACACACACACACACACGCAGAGGCACATGCTTCCTCTCTCTCTCTCACACACACATGCAAACACATGCCGTTGTGAACACAGTGGTTGTTTTGCCCTCCCCTCTGGGCATTAATCACTGCAGTCAAAGGGGGATCATGGAGGTGGGATTGAAGCGACGCTCTTGAATTATGACCGTAGGAGCGTCCCAGTTTTCTTGATCGCACAGCATCCTTAGAAGCTTATCGTGAACCTTGTTAAAGGCCCTTTTATGCTTCGTTTATGTACGAAGTGAATAAATGGGTCTGACTCTAAATCCTGTTTAGTGTCGTGGCCCTTTCATGCAGCTGGCACTGGCTGGTGGGTGCTGCGCCCCCTAGAGGACACTTCTGAGCTGTCTTCCACACTCAGTGAGTTAAAGACAGTTTATTCTCAGAGAGGGAAACACAGCCATTAAAGAGGGAGATGTTATGGAAGAACATACCTGGAGTGTTTCTTGAATTGTTTTCATGCATGTTTGAGAAATCCCCTGATCTCTGTGGCAACCATTCGGGTCAGACTCAAGTCAGATTCGTTAAAATAGCTCGGTTCAGCGTCAAAGCTGTTCAAAATGCTTGAAATCATAAAAAGATTGTGCGTTTAGTCAAAAAGTTCCTCCTGGGAGCGTCCAGATCCAGCTGAGCTTCACAGAGCTGCCCGTCCCCTGTGGCTCACCCGCTCGGCTCCTTCAGACTAGCCAGGAGCAATTAGCAAACACCTGGTGGAACTGCTGAGCTCATCAGATGAGCTACTTTTCAGTCCAGAGAACAGATGTGAACGGCCTGATGGACATTCACTGCAAAAACCGACCAAGTGTTTTCAGTCTAGTTTCTAATAGAAATATCTTAGTCTTCTTAATAGGAGAACTAACTTACAAGTAGCTTTTCAGCAAGATGTAGGAGCTTGATTTAAGTCGGTCAATCACTTTTTAATGTTGATGGAAAAGCACAATTTCCTCTGGCAGATTATTTCCCTAAAACAAGTGAAAATATCTTGCTGCAAGTGAAATAATCTGCCTACGAAACTAGTACTTTTTCCTTTAGGCCTGCTAAAGAATTATAGACTGAAAACAAGCACTTATAACTCGCTGAAATATTATTTAGCTTTGTCTTGTGGGCTAAGATATTTATTTGCCCACTGAATGAAGAGCAAACCTGTTTTCACCAGAGCTTCATCAGACAAAGACACGCCTGCATTTTGTGTTAAAATATTAAAAATTTTATGTTGGGGGGAAAAAAAATTTGATTTGGAAAAATGTTCTTTTGTCTGATTTTGTTTTATTTTTACTTAAATGAATTATTGTCATTTTGGTCCTTAAAATATCACAGTTTCTACCATAGAAAGTTTTTTTTTTGACCAAATACTTTCTCACTCGGGTTGCTTTTCACTTTTACTTGAGTAAAAACCTGTGGAGTCGTTCCGCTCCGCTCTCACGCTGCCAAATGATCCCTCAAGCTACTGTTGCTGTCAACATTTCATCAGTTTCAGTTTCTGTTTATTTAATATAAATGATATTAATACATAGACACCCCCACTCATTATTGAAAAGTATTATGATTATTACGAAACGTATCCGTCTTCCGCTTGCGAGGGAAGTGAACGCACGTTACCGGACGTATTTAGAAAAGGGAATCCATCAACCCTAACGCCTGCACTCAGCAGAGGCCTGCGGCGCCATCTCCACACCTGCCTGAACAGTTAATTAGCAAAGACAACATGGCAAACCAAGATGTCATGCCCTGTAGGCACCCCTCTGTGAGGAGAATCAAGGTGCTAAAATGGGGAACTGATTTATTAAGCGGTAATTGTTGGTGTGGATGTCTGCCCCATCGGACGGGGCTGGGGTTACTCACACACTCTGCTGAGTGCTAACTTTTGTCAGCTGGCAGATTCGCGACAGACATTTGCCAAAAAACCTCCCGCTGAGCACCGGGGCCGTTTGGAAAAGTCGCAAAGTTGTTGCCACCGGCTTTGATAATCGGCCCGTCTGTCCTGGGAAGGGAGCCGTTTGTTCGCTTTCACTTCACCTTCTGCAGATGATTGATGGAGAAACGGGAGCAGAGGCAGGGGACAGAGGAAGAGAAGGGGGTCAGCGGCCCAAAATGTCTCGGTGTTGGGGGGGTAGTGGGGTGTTGGGGGGTAGTGGGGTGGGAGTGGCGGGCGGTGGCCTGGCTTTTCTGGAGGCCTGTGGACAGAATCTGTTCACAGAGCTGCACTCGCAGCACATGGCTGATATAGTAGATGGCTGGAGATTGCGAGAGCGCCAAATAAGTTAGCATTGTCCAGCTGGGCTATTTGTGGAGAGGAAATTTACTTGCAGACAAACTGTCATCCGATGATCACAGGATAGAAAAGACAGGACTTTAAAGAATGAGTATAATTAACCACGCGTGTGTGCATTAATGTCATGGACCTCACCGGGTATTTTCTGGACTTTGTCGACACTCTGCAAAACAAGAACAACTTCCTTTTAGTCTTCAAAATAAGAGTTGCGATGTGGAGGCTCAGCTGGCTGTACAGCTAACAGGTAGCCATGGTAACAGCTTACATCACGATACAGTTTTAAGTCATAAATATAGTAAGTGAAAGTTTTAGCAGTTTCTCTGTTTTGCTCCTGGAATATGCATTGAATTTTCTTCATATAATGACACTAAAACTGCAAAATGCATATTTTTTTTTTACATAATTTTTCAAAACTCCCGTAGAAAACATGAACTTTTATAATTTTTTTAGCAAAAATGTTTCTCCTATCCGTTTTAAGCCCTAAAAGTAGTTTTTTTTTTTAATAACAAAGGTACTACTATTGATCTTTTAAAAAAAATTTACGTTACATTTGTAGCTCTAAAGTCGTGTTCAAATGTAAAAAGGGGTCTTTGGATCGTTGCGGTCTAACCCCATATTGACGGCGTTTAGACTTAAAGGACAGGACAATATGACAAAAACATAACTTTGCGACAGAACCTGAAAGTTGCATCGGATTACCATTTATTTAAAAAAAAACCCGGTGTGGTGGGCCTGTTTCTGTGCTGGAACGACTCGACTGGGTTTGGAATAGCATCACTGACCCCTGGGGGGCCAAATGTCTGCAGATCTCGTCGTGATTTATATACCTGCCATGAATTTACAGCTTGTGAATTGCTTTCCGTTAACAGCAGGACAGCAGGGAACGGCGGCCGGAGGGGACCGAGCCAGCGGCTTGTTCCGCTGGAAGACAGCTTCATGCGCCGCTGCTTGTGATTGTCACTTTTTTCCTCACCTGAGCTGAAAGAAATACTTATCTTGTATGTGCTACAGACGCAAGCTAGCGACGGGGTAGCAGCGCTGTTGTCTGTATTGGTTTTGTTGTTGCCGTTTGGGGATGCCTATGGCTGACAGATATCTCTACTGTAAGTGTATATTTGCTGTGTGCGCGCGAACATTCCCCAGTCACGGCACCTGGTGCGAAGGAGGGCTTATAAATTCCCACGATAAGGAGAGGGGAAGTGTCACATAGCTGGGTGTCATTTTTTTAAGATGTGAGAAAATGCCGCCCTGCTTGCTTTCCTCCTGAAGAACAGCAGGAATGAAAACAGCGAGAAGATTCCCGGACCGCCAAGCGTTCAGTCGAAAACGGTGAAAGGACGGCAGCGACTGATGGTTTCTGTGGATACCAGACTTTTCACTGTTGATTTTTTTTCCCCCCCACAGATGCTAAGAAATGTCACAAATATGGGTGATAAGCTCTTTCGGCGAGTTATAGACTCTGTGCTGATAGGTGTACAAAGCGCCTCCTGTGCTCGGTTTGAAGTGTTTCAGAATGTGGTGCTGCTTTTCTTTGAAAAGCATTAATATTTTTTTAACCAATCAGAGAACGGACCACACCAAAGCGGTGACAGGAGGGGTGCAAATCCCAACTCTGTTCGGTGCAGATGTGCTTACTGAGAGAAGAATCCAAGTTAGCAATTTTCAGTATCAAGTTATTGTTGGTAAAAGGTCTGAAGGATGATAGTAGTCTATAAATTAAATGTTAACAGGAAGTGTTTTATTTTGTTACTTCCTGTTTTAAACTCGACTTAAGGGAATTTGGTGCAGAAAGTGAACGATTAAAATAACTAACCTGGGATGTTATGGTGAGTTCAGCGTTGTGGCTCTTCAGTTTGGTGAGAACTGGAACAGTCTGTCCTCTCAGCGAGAAAAGCACACAACCAGAAAGTGTTTCCAGGTAAACCAGGAAAACATGATTGGCTGATGTAGATGAACCAATCAGAACGGAGCAATTAAGGAAAAGGAAATGACAAAGAAGCATTCAGGACTGTGACGCAACACAATCCCCCCAAAATCCGTTGTTTACCATTAACATGCTGGTTTTCTACAATCTAGAATGAAAATTATACATTTAACACTTTCTGCGGATGGATAAGGAAGAGCCATCGTCAATGCTTCGATTTGTACCCACCAAGTGAAGATCGTGTGACGGATTCCCTTTGGTCAAAGTAATTTCATCCAGGTTCATCTTTCCATAAATTCTCGTTGATTTTGATCTTTTCAACGTGTCCCAGGAGCCTCGGCATCAGCTAAATACAACGCTACCGCCAAAGTGTTGCGCTTGCATGTACGCTTGGCATTTTGGAAACATCAGTCGGAGGAAGATTTAAAGGGATGAAGGCAGGTTGAAACCGAATCACGTTGGGTCTGAGACTTGTAACACTGTCTGGTGTTAAATTAATTAAGTTGTTTCCCAACTTCTGTTTCTAAATAAAACTCTGCCTGTCATCTGCCCAGAGGCCTCCTGTAAACCTGTCTCCTCACACCATATTCCAGGCATTGGTGGCATTTCTCTTAAAGAAAGTGCTCCACGTATAAAGTTCTCATGGAGTTATTAAAGGTGGATCTCGCCACAAAAATGTGTCACAGCTTCACACCCTTATTAACTGGCCGCTTTGAGACGTGGGCTGGTTTTGGTGACACAAAGGCAGCGTTAGTCATTTTATCCTGTCACCATTCTGTCAATTTGATGGTTTCATTCTCCGTTTCTTTGGGTGGAAAAGGAAGAGGCATCGTCCATCTGCCAATTTTCACCCGCTTTGTTTCGTAACTGAACATAGTAAATTCCTGCAATCCAGTTGCGGTCTGCCCAAAAAAAAAGGAAAAAAAAGTCATGTTTTGAGTTTACGAAAGCAAAAACTTCAACCTGAAATAAGAAAAATGACAGCAAATGTGCGCAAAAGCTTCAGAAAGTGACTTGCTCTTTTACGACGCATCAAAAGAAGTACGGAAAGAAATAACAAACGTTTTCCTTTCTTACCGAAGACAAAATGGAAAAGATGGTTTTACAAACTAGATAATTGAGAGAGAAATGACTACCTTTTAAATATTATAAATAAAAAGCCCAGACATAATGTCACGATGCCATGTTAAAGACAAACCTGTAGGCACCTCCACACCTGTAGCCCATCATGTGAAACCGCCTGGAACGAAAAACTGGATTGAAAACACCCGATTTTATTCACATGGCGGAACAAAAAGACAGTTTTGTGGAGCAAGAAAAATCCACGACTCAATCTGACTGAGATGGTGTGGTTGGATCTGAAACAGGCAGCTGATATTAAAGCAACTCTGAAACACACATTTTGAGTGAATGCAAAAGCTCGATGGGCGTCTTTCTAAAAGATGTAGTCGTTATTTGGAAACAGCATTTTGCGTTTACTTATGCTGTCGTTTCTGAAATAAAATTTGGCTTGTTCTTGAACATTTAAATGCAACTAATACAGAAAAAAAACAGCACCGCTATTTCAGGTCACCTCTCATGCGTTTCGCTTTGTTAAAGCAAACTGTCTATTAAACGGATCAAGTTTCATACGGTCAGAAAACAGTGACAGCATCCATATGCTGAATGGATGAGTATCGATGGGTAACCTAAAGAAGCTCATAAAGTGAAAGAGGTCAAAAAAAGATTTCACAGCCGTATATTAAATGTATTTCGAGTTACTTACAATGTTTCAGTGTTAAAGCTGCTCCTAATTTCTAAACATGATGTGACACGGCACATGTTGATGTGGGAAATTGATCCTTTGTGGTGAAAGTAAGAAGTAAACAAACAGTTTTGCCGAATGTCATCGTTTCCCCGCTGGGTGTTTGTCGGCAAGGGTCAAAGGGGTGGAGGGGAAAACGGGAGTGGAAATGTCATAAATCAGAAGGATTTTAGAATCTGATGACAAACCTAATTCCTGTCTGCAAAGAGCCGGGCCGTACCCCCTCACTGTCATCGAAGCCGGCCTATAAACATCGCAGCTGTCACCCAAGCTCGAACGGAGCGCGAAGGACATGCCATCGCTCCTCTCTTCCCTGGTCCATTTTTGGATCGGAGGGGCCGGCAAATTCCAAATTGCATTTTGTCACATTGGGTCGCAGTGGGGGCTGGTCCGGGACCCTGTCAGTATCTCCCACAGAACCCCTCAAGCCCTCTTAGGCTGAGGCATCTCCTGTCATGCCGGACCATCTGCTTGGAGTATTTACTCCTGCAGAATTACTTCAGCCTTCTTCCCCAACAAAAACTGTTAGCAAAATCCTAAAAGGGAAATGTTGGTAGGGGATGAGAGGTGCGGAGGGGAGGGTGGACGGGTGGGGGGGCAGGGGGTTATAACACACTGTGCTAAATGTTGTCACTGCGAAAGGTGAGTAGAGGAGCTTTAGGGGCAATTTTCCACTCAACAAACGCTGTGACTGCCACTCTGCGGACTCCTTCCTCTCCTCCACACACACTCCTGCACACACAAGCTGCAGAAACACGATAGCTCCCACAGAGCCTGCTTGGTAACCTATACAACTAAAGCCGGCAACTCGGTCATTAGAAATAAAAAAAGAGAGAAATATAAAATTACACTTGGACATCCAGGCATCTGAGCAGCATGTCTTACCGTTCCAAAACTGTTGCTTCAACTTTAACCCAGAGCAAGACGAGACGCTGCGCACTATGTAGCGCACAGATGTTCTGGAAAACTGCTGGGTTTTTTTTGTTTTTTTTTTTTAATCTAGCCAATCCACTTCCAAATAAAAATCAAAACTTGTTATCTTTCCACGGTTGAAATGTGTCATAAGTAAATGATGTATCTCTGGGAACCGAAAAGCCCACGATGAGTTCTGTCTGTGACTATTTAAGAATGTGATGTTCTTGATTTCAGCACAGCTCAGTGGGGTAACAGCCAGTTTCGGTAAGAAACATTAGAAAAAATGTATGTGCTTGAGTCATGAAAACTAACAGATGTTGACCTAAAGGGTTATATTTATGCAGATAAAATCATACGCATTTTCTATGCTGGCGCTGCCCAGTAGTGTGGAGGTGAAACCCGAACAAACAAACGACGCGCATAAGCTCAGTTCTCCATTCAAAGAAACCAATTCATCTAGTAGAGAGAGCATAAATACGTAAATACATGTGTAGAGAAAACATGTAAAGTCCATGCAAAACAACCTTCTACATTTAAGATAACATTGCAAAAAAAAAAAAATAAAATAAAACACCTGAGACTGTGACTCAGATATTTAGCCGGATCCACACGGTCCATTCGGTTCAACTTATCTTTGTTTTCCCAAGAGAATGTGCGCGGGAATCAGTTTCAAACTTCTCGACCCATCAAGGGTTCAGCCGCCAGCCAACTTCCGGCAGCACAGGAAACGACGGCTGGTATGACTGAGACACCGAATCGCCCTTTGTGCCCGGTCCTGAGGGGGTGGCACGCCCTGCCCTGGGTGTAAATGCCAGGGTGCGCCACCGGATCATCTGTGTACCAGCGCCGCCAACTCCTTTATCCTTCTAATGTGCAACTGTAATCACTGCATTTCAGTCATAATGTGTGCACAATGTTACTCACTGCAATGTCTTTTCACCTGTCTAAATTGAACTGAAAAGAAGAAACGAATAAAACAAGCAAATACAGGAGGAGAAGAGGAGATCGACAGGGAGGAAAGGGAAAGAAGGATATTGAGAAGAAAGTAAGGACAGAAACAAGGCAGCAGAGAGGAAAAGTCATGTTTAGAAAATGAGAAGGTAAAAAAAAACTTTTCAAAAAATCAGTATTTTTATGTCAGCCGGAAAAATACTGAACTCAAATTCCAAATATTTCTGAATCTAACGGGCCTCTTACTGTAGAATCTACTTCCAAAATGATATCTTGGAAAAAAAGCAACATCATAATTTTCCTTTAGATATGAGACGACCACAAAACAGTTGGAGTAAAAGCGACAACACAAGACACTTTGCCTCCATTGCCACTCAATAAAACACGTCAGCAGTTCTGATGAGTTTTAAACCATCTCGACTCGACGCGTCCCTTAAAGCAGCAACGTTTAACACATTTGAGAAGTCGTTCTGCTAAAGTAGGAACCCATCTTTCAGCACCTTTTGCCTCTCTGTAGCCACAACAGAGATTACATCATTCAGAGCTGCTGCCATTAATGGAGATGACAGCCAGACGGGAGAGGATGAAGTCCAGCAGCGCCAGCGAGAGAAAAGAGAGGAGCAGAGCGGAGGGCCCGGCCCGGCCCCCGGCAGGCTGCATTGTCATTTTCAGGAAGGCGACCGCGCTAATGGTGTTGTAATTGGATTTAGGCGGATTATCCACCAGCGAGAGCAAAGGAGCGCAGGCCAGAAACAGAAACACGACCAGTTCAATCACAACCTGTTGGCCAAGTCACGGCTGAGCGTGAGGTCTCAATCTGGACGGCGGGGTGTGTGGGCCCCCGGCGCGTCCGGTTGGCCCCGGCGCGTCCGGTTGGCCCCAACGCGTCCGGTTGGCCCCAGCGCCGGTCAGTCAAGTAGGACGAGAGGAGAAGACGTGAAACGGTGATTGGAGATGTGAAGAGACACATCGAGATCCTCCGACTTTAACCAAAAGATACAAAACACGCATAAAAGAAACGTGGAGCTCTGGTTCGGGCTCCGTTAAATGTTTACGTTAAATCAGGGGCGTCCAAACTTTTAGTGACATGGGCCAAAATGATCAACTCACTCGCAGGACGGAAAAAAACCCAGAACAAATAAAACAAAATCACAAAAAGTTTTAAATTAGAATCGCCCGGCTCAACAGAAATAACCATTAAATACTTAATTTAGACATAGAAAATAGTCTAGTTTTTTTAAAACAAATGTGTAAATCACAGAAGAGAATTACAGAAAAAAAACAATCAGACTTTATCTCAGAATTCTGAGATCAAAGTCAAAAAATTTTTTTTGTGCGTCTGGTCTTCTTCCTTTGTAAGTTGAATCGAAATCGTTTTGCACGTTTTCCTACTTGAAAGAAAGAAATTTTATTTTGGGCTCACGCTTGAAGAAAACTGAACGAGACTCGGTGACAAAAAGACAATTCAGTTCACTATTTACTTTCAGGATGATCCATTCTGAAAAGGTGAGGGTCGGCTTCTCTCCCAAATCTGTTCCGAGGAAGTAAAACTAATGAAGCACATCTGCTTATTGGAACCTTCAGTTTCCTTTCAGACGTCCTCCGACCGTCGACCGATGCCGCAGAGAATCCCTCACTCAGTTCCTGACAGCTGTGATAAGAGCCATGTGTGTCGAGACGACTCATCCAAGGAGCTTTCTGGACATT